TAATGAAGGAGAAAGTAGAAGCTGCTTTGAAGGTATTGGCAAAAACATAAATCCCAAGGAATCAATGGGATACTAATAGATTTGTTCCAATTAATAGATGCACTCAACAGTCTATACCAGGAAATTTGAAGGATGGCTGTGTAACCAGCTGACTGGGAGAGGACCATACTTGTTTCCATTCCCAAGAAGGGTGATCCAACTGAATGGGGAAATTATCAAAGAGATTATTAGTGAATTTTTTTAAAAAAGATGGAAGAGTAAAGACATTTGTAAAACTAAGTCCACTGAAAAACAAAGAAAGGCACACACACACACACACACACACAAAGTCTCTAAGTCCTCAATTAAAAAAGGAAATGAGCATGACTACAAGCTACAAAATATGAAGATTATTTACCAAATACAGAAAAGCTGTGGAGTAAGGAAAGATGTTGAAAGAAGGCAGAGGCAGCACAAAGAAAATAGAAAGCAACCCCCTTAGAGCTGAAAGCATGGACGGGATACAGGTATCTCTAAAAAGTGGGCCAATCCAGAAAAGACATTTCAACACTCTTTTGATAACAGGATAAAGTGTATTGTCCTGTACAGGTGACAAGAAAAACAACATTATGATCTTGTAAAGACACTAGGGTCAACTTAAAGGGCAAGAGTTGGAAATAATCGAGTGAAGAGAAAAAATTAAGGAGTTTTATGATCTGAATCTTCTAATCATATATCTGGTAGTAAGAGAGATTATGACAAACAGGGCAGAAATCACTATTTTACTTCTCAGAGACTCTAAGATATGAAGGGCTTCACAAAAGTTTGTACATGACAATTACAAACAATTCGTCTGCAGGGCATCATATAGAAAAGCAATTTTCACCGACCAGACAGGTATACTACCAGTGTAGTACAGTCTCCTCACAGTCAAGGACTCAAATTTTCATTCCTCACTACAGGTTATGGGCACATGTATATCTGAAATCATAACCTAGATGCCAATATTTGGAGGCAATCTTATAGGGTACTCTCACTGAGTCATTATATAGTTTACCAGTGCACTTAACTAAGAAATTTATTCTACTCTGATTCAGTATTTTAAGCATTTGTCTTTCCTTTTTTTTTTCTCTTCCTCTGCTAACAGCACCCCCAAAAAATAGGTAGGAACTTGTTCAGGATTCTAAGGATGTATATGCTGCACATATTGCACTACTGCAATAGTGACTATATGTCTGCTAGTTTGTTCTATTTTTCCTTTCACCAGTATATAAAACTAACCTCTGGAGCAATGAACATCATTCAAATCTTATGTTCAAATCTTAATTATTTCAGTAATTTAAAATCTCTAACATAAGGTGTATAAGGGTTAAAAGAAGTCATTTCTAGGCATTTCTCCCTTATTTACACAAGCGAATGTCAAGTGTGTGTATTGTTAATTTCATCGGATTTTTATCAAATTTCATAGTGACTAATATCTTTCTGTAAATCTCATTTTGCACTATAATGAAAACCTGCATTAAAATATTACTAACCTCTGTTTGAAAAAATATTGTACATGAAATGAAGGGCAATGTAAACTTTTAGCAAGAAAGCAAAGAAATTATGGTAAAAGTAGTCTCTAAAGCTTACTTAATGTTGTTGACAGGTTGGTCTCTTCAAACTTTACTTAATGTGTAATTAATAATATGATACTGAACGGTGAAGAAAATGTGGCATCAGAATGTATGGAAAATTATCAACCTGCAATATTAAGTTTTATAGCCTAAACTATAGTATTGTATTTATAAATGAGTGAATAAAAAAATTTCTTTGTAAACTTTCCTTAATATCATAATAAAAAAAGAAGACTCTCAAATCTATACTGGCTTAAACTATTCTTTATTAATGCTCCTTCAACATTTCCAGTGTCTTTACTGAATTGCTAACATTTGTCTAAATTGTTTAGCTTCTTTGTGTCCTTTTGTTAAGTGACTGTCTTGATTATAATTTTTAGTAATGGTATCAGGATGCTCTCAACTGTTCAGGATTAAAACTTAAGTGTCATCTTTGACTCACTTCCTGTTTCAATTACCCAGGTCTACTAAATCTTTTTTCCAAAATATCTCTTGCATCAATATATTTTGCATGTACGTTGCTGTCAACCAAAATAATATCCTAGTTGCGTAATACCAAATTTAGACTTTCTATTCTACCAGGTTTACCTATGAGGCCCCTGCTTAGAAATCTTCAGTCCTACCATTAAGAATGAGGTAAAATTAAAGTCCATTTGAAAACTGAGACTCTCCAAAAGCAGAACTCATCTACCTTGAATCTTTATATAATATCATTTATTATATCTAACATTATTCAACCTAATGTTGTGAAAACTTGGGTTCAAATTCTGGCTCTCTCATTTTCTAGCAGTTGGCAGCATCAGTATGAATGGTGAAGAGATTGAGATAGTTAACAGTTTTAGTTTACTTGGTTCCACAGTCAACACTCTTGGTAACAGCAGCCAGGAAATCAGGAGATGAATTGCATTGAGAAAGTCAGCTGTGAGGGACCTCTCAAGAGTACTGAAGAGCAATGACGTCAGGATGGAGACTAAGGTGCACCTGATCCAGGCTATAGTCTTTGCAATTACGCGCTATGCATCGGAGAGTTGGACAGTGAATAGGGATGATAGAAAGAGAATTGATGTCTTTGATCTGTGATGCTGGATAAGAGTGTTGAATATACCATGGACTGCTAGGAGAACAAACAGGTTTGTCCTGGAGAGGGTGAAGCCAGAATGCTCCTTGGAGTCAAGGATTCTGAAGCTTCATCTTACATACTTTGGGCATGTTGCAAGGAGGGACTGGTTCTTGGAGAGGGACATCATGTTTTGGAGAGTGGAGGGATGGTGCAGGAGAGGAATACCCTCGATGACATGGATCGATTCTGTGAGTGGAGTGGTGGGAATGAGTGTGAGACAGTGAGTTTGCCACAGGCTAGAACGGCGTTTAGGGCTCTTGTGCATAGGGTCGCTTTAAGTCGCAAGCGACTTGATAGCACATAACAACAACAACATAGTTGTGAGCAGTCTCTGAGCTTCCATCTCTTCATTTGAAAAATGAAGATAATAATATCAATCTTACAGACTTGTTTGGGGAGAAGATATATGATATTTTATAGTTGAATGAAATGTTGTTATTGTTGTTGTTGAGGTGTGCCATCGAATCAGAATGGACCCATAAACAACCCTCTAGCAGGTTTCCAGAGACAGTAAATCACACAGGAGGAGATTGTGTATCTTTCTCCTACAGAGCACCTGGTCGATTCGAACTGCATGACTTTGGGATTGTAGTGTAACTTCTTATCACTAGGCCAGCAGAGCTCCGATATTTTATAAATTAACTCAATAGAAGGCATTATTATATTTATACCCTACCAAACACACATACCAATATTGAAATATATTTTCCTGTTGAGTGATAACTACTTTTTTTTTTCAATTACAGAGAAGATTAACGCTCATCACGCTGGCTTTTTCTGAAAAGTAAATGGCTTCTATGACATTATCTGTCCAGTCGCTTAATTTTATTATTGAAAGTTTGGCAATTATGACACCTGAAATATTTTTATTTTCTCTATGATACATTCTTGTCATTTTATTTTAAAATCTCTATTTAATAAGAGTGGCTCAAAACAACAACAACAACAAAATTCATTACTTTGGAGTCTGAGTCCTAGTGCCTTTACAGGACAGTATAACTAGCTCACAGAGTTTCCAAGGCTGTATGTAATCTTTACAAAGGCAGATTGCTACATCGTTCACCCAAGGAGCAAGTGGTGGGTTCACACCACCAACCTTTCAGTTAGCAGTCAAGTGACAACTACTACACTATGAGGTTGCCCAAGAACTGCTCAACACCCATGATATTACTCCCAGTGATAATCACAAAGGAAACACAAAGCCAAGCAAGAGGCATCAATCACCTCCATACTATGGTTTCTGGAACCAGACTCGAATGACTCAGAACTCATTTTCATAAAATAAAGATAGTTTAAGATACATTTTAGTTTGGTTGCAATTTGGAAAAAAATAATTTCTAAACACACACATAGGTTGATTATTTAAAGTATAGTAATGCAGTAAGGAAAACCATGTTTTTAATGTTGTGATACTAAGTGGTTTTATTTTTTAGATTTTCAAATGCTAATTTGTAATTTCACTTACCCAATAAAACACATCTTGAGGTGACAAAGTCTGTTATCTTAGTTTTGTTTAAATAATATTAAATAAGTGGCTTCATTGTTTATAGCATGGAATGAACTAATGAGACAGCTGGTTATTTCTATATTAGATAGAGCTTTCATTAATCCATAATTACTAATTAACTATATAATTAAAAGCATAATGAAAAATTAAAATCATTTTAATTAGAATGATAATGACAGGATTTGTTCCTTGCTAG